ATAATAAGCTTGAGCTAAATTGTGTCCTTACCTCTCAGTTAACCCTTTAGTCTCATAGTAAGACTGAAAGAAGCTTCTCCAGTTGATTTCAGTGTCCCCTGGATACTCAGATACAATAACTGAAATGTAGGCAAAAACTGCTTTCGTATGAGGATTGGAGCCATTACATCTCAAGGACAACCTGAAATCCAGCCGAAGATGAATAAAACATTTCTTTCTTTTCCAGTTACATGGCATTGTACATGAATTTCCAAGAAACAAAACTCCTCACTTGCATTCATTCCTGGCGTTTTTCCTTACTCTTAGCTCTGAGCAGAGATCCAAGTCATAGTTTTCTATTTCTGAATTCAAACTATGAAGTAAAGAGAAAAATTGTTGCACGGGAAAATAGTTCTCTCACAAAATACTTCTTTGCTGAACTCTGAAGTAGCTTTCATTATTTACTGTATACTGACCCACAATAAAGAGAACATTGTGTCTGTAGCAAAACATTGATCATGTTCTATAGTTAATATGTTAAAGTGTAGCAATTGTATATATATTTGAAAAAAAAAAAACCTAACAAACAAACAAGTCCCAACCTGAGCAGTCTTGGTAAGTAAACAGTGTCCCCATAATCCTCCACATCTGTGCCATAGCTTCCAGAACTGCAGTGATTACATAATAATAATAATAATAATAATAATAATAATAATAATAATAATAATAATCTTTACATGTACTGTATACACTATATATGCACAACGTAAATTAAATGGAGCTGAAATTTATCTCAGAATATTTAATTAATAATAAATAATACATGATTCAGATTCCAAAGCAAGTCATTTTGATACCTGAATTCTGCTGATCTGTTTGAGTCACTGATATCTGAATAGACACTGTCCCCTTCATTGTCACTCTGGAAACTGCATGAAAGCATTGCATAGCATCATCAAAGCCACTCAAACAATTCATTCAAATATTTGAGATTGCACTTTTTTGTGGGATTGCATGATTACATTTCATCTAAATGTTTTTATAAGTCATGGTAACTGTCACTGAACTTTAGTATGGCCCATTTTAAGTTTGGTGTTTGTCTATGAACAGTGAATGGTTGTATATCTGATGGTTGTATATCTGATTTTATGTACGTTAGCAGTGGTTGTGAGTGAAAAATAAACAAACCAAATAAGTAGAATGGTGGCCACATACTTTTGGCATTTCAGCATAACATAAAACCATGAATGTGAGTCAGTGTAGAGATATGGGACTGACAGTGTTTAAACAGTATTTCTAGATGCTGTTTGGAACCTAAATGTTAATGATGCATAGTGAATTAAGCATACAACGTGGCATCCATAGGTGTGAAGATACTAACAAAAAAAGATACCAATCTATTTGAAATCAAAGACAAACCTCTAAAAGTCTCATTTATTTTTATATTAAGGGAAATTAGAATAGTTCCTGCACGATGTATTGCAAACAGTTCCAAAACTGCTTATGCAGAACACTGAATTTTCCACACTTACCTAAACAACAAAATCACCTTATAATTAATTTGAAAAAAAAAGAAAAAGAAATTAGAAGCATAATTCATTGTTATATCTCAAATATGATATACTATACGCCAGTTTTGGAGAGTTTACTATGAAATGCCCAAATACCATTTAGACATTTGTTGAAACCAAAATAATTTGCACTGTCTATCAGGACAAGTGCCCTTAAATAGAAAGTATTCTGCCACCTGCCCCACATCAATATAATCTGTCTCTGTCTAATTAGTAAGCATATGTTTAGGAAAAGTATTGCAGTACATAAACATTGCTGTTTTCTTTATGTTTTCTGATCAAGTTGAGCACTTGAATAAATAGTCTGACCTGATGAATACAGGTTTCAGATTAACATTTTAGATTGGAAATGGGTAACACATCCAGCCACTGCAGTTTATTCTATATTAAAGAATTACTCAATAAAAACTTTTAATTTTATCAAAAGATATTATGTGAATCATACAGAATGCACCATGTAATAAAAAGAAAAATTGCTACTACCTTTTCCAGTCTTCCCGGGCATTCTGTTCATCAACACGATCTCTCCTTTTTTGCCTTGACAGCATAACACTACCTCATATAAGAGACACACAAAACAAAACAAAAGAAAACAAATTACTTTTATTCTACAATAAAATTAATAAGAAAACAGTTATCCTTCAAACAGTATAGTTTATTATTTTTTCTCAGAAAACACATGATACAATCCAATATACTCAAGCCAGAAAAGCTATACAGTGGTGTGAAAAAGTGTTTGCCCCCTTCCTCATTTCCTGTTCCTTTGCATGTTTGTCACACTTAAGTGTTTCGGAACATCAAACCAATTTAAACAATAGTCAAGGACAACACAAGTAAACACAAAATGCAATTTGTAAATGAAGGTGTTTATTATTAAAGGTGAAAAAAAATCCAAACCATCATGGCCCTGTGTGAAAAAGTGATTGCCCCCTAAACCTAATAACTGGTTGGGCCACCCTTAGCAGCAACAACTGCAACCAAGCGTTTGCGATAACGTGCAATGAGGCTTTTACAGCGTCCTGGAGGAATTTTGGCCCACTCATCTTTGCAGAATTGTCCTAATTCAGTTACATTAGAGGGTTTTCGAGCATGAACGGCCTTTTTAAGGTCATACCACAACATCTCAATAGGATTCAGGTCAGCACTTTGGCTAGGCCACTCCAAAGTCTTCATTTTGTTTTTCTTCAGCCATTCGGTGGACGTTGCTGGTGTGTTTAGGATCATTGTCCTGCTGCAGAACCCAAGTTCGTTTCAGCTTGAGTACACGAACAGATGGTCGGACATTCTCTTTCAGGATCTCTTGGTAGACAGCAGAATTCATGGTTCCTTTTATCACGGCAAGTCTTCCAGGTCCTGAAGCAGCAAAACAGCCCCAGACCATCACACTACCACCACCATATTTTACTGTTGGTATAATGTTCTTTTTATGAAATGCAGTGTTCCTTCTACGCCAGATATACTTGGGCACACACCTTCCAAAGAGTTCCACTTTTGTCTCATCGGTCCACAGAATGTTGTCCCAAAAGTCTTGGGGATCATCAAGATGTGTTGTGGAGAAATTGAGACGAGCTTTGATGTTCTTTTTGCTCAGCAGTGGTTTTCTCCTTGGAACTCTGCCATGCAGGCCCTTTTTGCCCAGTCTTTTCCTGATGGTGGAGGCATGAACGCTGACCTTAACTGAGGCAAGTGAGGCCTGCAGTTCTTTGGACGTTGTTGTGGGGTCTTTTGTGACCTCTTGGATGAGTCGTCGCTGCGCTCTTGGGGTAATTGTGGGCGGCCGGCCACTCCTGGGAAGGTTCACCACTGTTCCATGTCTTCGCCATTTGTGGATAATGGCTCTCACTGTGGTTCGCTGGATTCCCAAAGCTTTGGAAATGGCTTTATAACCCTTTCCAGACTGATAGATCTCAATTACTTTCTTTCTCAATTGTTCCTGAATTTCTTTGGGTCTCAGCATGATGTGTAGCTTTTAAGGATCTTCTGGTGGACCTTACTGTGTCAAGCAGCTCCTATTTAAGTGATGCCTTGATTGTGAACAGGTGTGGCAATAATCAGGCCTGGGTGTGGCTAGAGAAATTGAACTCAGGTGTGGACAACCACAGTTATAGTATGTTTTTAACAAGGGGGCAATCACTTTTTTAAAACGGGGCCATGATGGTTTGGATTTTTTTCACCTTTAATAATAAACACCTTCATTTACAAATTGCATTTTGTGTTTACTTGTGTTGTCCTTGACTATTGTTTAAATTGGTTTGATGTTCCGAAACACTTAAGTGTGACAAACATGCAAAGGAACAGGAAATGAGGAAGGGGGCAAACACTTTTTCACACCACTGTATATATTAGAGTATAAATTGAAACAAATGTAACTTTTAGGTATTATTACAGAAAAGTTGCACACTCACTCAATCTTACACAGACTGGAAGAGGTCTGAATAAGGCGCAGAATGCTGGAAGCAACATGAGCTGTGAAAAATCTCAATGCCAGCTCTACCTCTTTCAGAGCAGGAATACTGTTCATGACAGATAACAGTTCGTCCAGGCACTGATCATACTCTGGACATCTGCAATATACAGCAACTTTATAACTGTATAAATCAATATAAAAGCACATTACATTGATGCTAACCACATGATACAAATGTTATTTTAAATTTTGTTGTTTCATTAGCATTTGTATTTAGATAAGGTCTAAATGCAATATCACTCACAGCTCAGTCATTGCTTTAAGCTGGTTATAACGATGGAAGAATGTTGCCCAAGAATCGTTGAAGAAATCTGTGTTGTTTGTTATGGTGAGGGTGATACAGGGAAGCACTCTGTGAACATCACCTGCCATATAACCTGTCGTTGATCTGTTTTAGGAAAAAATTTTGGACAATTATTAATGTAGTCATCAGCTTATTATAATATTAGACTGAATTTGCTGGTATAAAAACAATGATATTGTAAACGTACATCCAGCCGTGATAGTCATGATAATCCAAATGACGGCATCCAAAAGACAGTATGGAATTTTTGTCAGAAGACCTGAGAGAGAGAGAGAGAGAGAGAGAGAGATTGCTTGATTCCACAGGCCACACTCTCCAGCTCACTTAGTGGCGGTAATGCGCCCAACTCCTGAAGCGGCATAAAATGTCAAAGAAGAGCGCAGGCGCTCAGATTTAATTGATGGTTTGAATTGTTTTTAACACACTAATAATCCATCCATCTTCTACCACTTACTGCTTATTCAGGGTCACAGGGAACTTGGAGCCTATCCCAGGAATCATTGGGCACAAGGCGGGGTACACCCTGGACAGGGTGCCAGTCCATCACAGGGCACAATTACATACACACTCACACACCATTCATACACTACGGACACTTTAGACATGCCAACCAGCCTACCATGCATGTCTTTGGACTAGGGGAGGAAACTGGGGAGAACATGCAAACTCCACACACACATGCCCCAGCGGGAATTGAACCCGGGACCCTGGAGGTGTAAGGCGAAAACACTAAACACTAAGCTACCATGAGCCCATGCACTAATAACCGAAAAGGAAAGGTTTTGTGGAAGTAGGCCTAGTTGTAAATACACTGTTCATGGTCACCCGTCCTTCTCTTCCAGCAATTTGATGTCTGATGTCTTTTTTTTTTCCTTTGTTGTTTTTTTTGTTTGTTTTTTGTTTTTAGGTGTACCTGGCATTAGACTCAAGCAAGAAGCTAAGATGCAGTGTGTCTTTCGATCAATGTAGGGAAATGAAGATGAGTGAACATGCAGAAAAGTGGTATTAAAGCCATGAGCTGGAGAGCCATGTGCTCGTGCATGTGTGCAGGTGGTGAGACAGATTCCTTGGTTTGGACTAAAAGTTTTTACTCTCTGTACGCTTATGGCCATACCACCCTGAGAACGCCTGAGCTTGGAAGCTAAGCAGAGTTGGGTCTGGTTAGTACTTGGATGGGAGACCACCTGGGAATACCAGGTGCTGAATGCCTCCACTGTTCAAAGGTCAAAATTTTTTGCAACTTTCACAAAATTACTAGTACACAAACACCGCGATGGAGAGACACATCTGACCAAATCAAAACAAAGTCATTCAACTGAGCAGAAAATTCTTTTTGAATCACAAAATTATCTCCACATCATTCACGATGGCAGTTATTTGGGTCTTTATTCATTCTTTCCTTTCTTTAGGTGCTTCTTCTCCTATGTTGTTTATTTCTCTGGATATTTTTTGAGCACATTTTTTGTTATAGAGAGAGAGAGATGTTCTAAAAATCAAATGAGTTCAAACATTGTAAAATGAATGCATATGGTAGGAAACAATTTGTCTATAATGAGTAACTTATATATGCTCTAAAGAAGCAAGGTTTTGTAGTAATTTTTATATTTAAAGTAGAAATGGCATGTGATGTTAAGGTTTAGTATGTCTGTAAGCTGTGTGTGTGTGTGTGTGTGTGTGTGTGTGTGTGTGTGTGTGTGTGTGTGTGTGTGTGTGTGTGCGCGTGTGTGTGTGCGTGTGTGTGTGTGCGCGTGTGCATGTGTGTGTGTGCGCATGTGTGTGTGTGCGTGTGTGTGTGCATGTTTAACTCAATGCTAACCTCAGGGCTTCTCCTCTGATCATTCCTAGAGTTTCACCTCCACTGCCCACTCTCAATCTGCAATAAATATATATAATAAAAATCTGCTGTACAGTGTAAGACAAATATCAGATGTTCCAAAGTGTGATCATACTCAAAGAATGGTAGACTAGAACAGGCCTGGAGAAAATAAATCATTTCAGCTGCCCAGTTCTCAGGTAAGCTTGTCAAGTGTAACTTAACCTCCGTTAGAGACGGCACAGATTGGAGGACTGAAAAGACAGTGCTCATTTGCTTGTCCAAAGAGAAACATGTTCTGCAAAAAATGAATACATTTATATTAATAAATGTAATAAACTACTTATAAGCAAGTATATGCTTAGAAAAAAGCACTTTATATTCTAGCACTTTATTTAATTAACTTTATTTATTTATTAATTAAATTAAATTAATTAAACTGCTTCCAAAGAAAATGTAAAATAGCAAAATAATAAATAAGATCCAAATAAAATGATCATTACAAATTCCTAACTGTGATTTTCCAAGTTCCAAGTTACATAAAAGCATAAAAAGAAAAACATCAAAATATATAATGAATATTATTCAAGCACATACATGCCTTTGATTTGATTTCATCAGCTGGCTACTCATTTTGAACAAAACTTCCCAGTTAACAGTGGCACCCTCCATAGGTGGAAATGTCAGTGAGAGTTGCAGGAGTATTGCTTTGAATTCAGTTTCACGTGCATCCTGAAGACTGAAACAAATCCATTAAAAATAATTTCATACAAATCTTTAACAGAAATCAATGCCATTATTAAAGAAAAAATAGTTGTAGACATATTCTAGCCCTATCCTACTTTCCACACACATTCCTCAATAGCAAAACTCTGTCATGCCCTATGCAACTTGAATAATTAACAATTTACTTATTCATGTTTTTAACATTCATGTCCAAATTATACTTTAATAATGGTGTATACAGTGAGGGAAAGAAGTATTTGATCCCTTGCTGATTCTGTACATTTTCCCACTGACAAAGAAATGATCAATCTATAATTTTAATGGTAGGTTTATTTAAACAGTGAGAGACAGAATAACAACAAGAAAATCCAGAAAAACGCATGTTAAAAATTTTATAAATTGATTTGCATTTTAATGAGGGAAATATGTATTTGACTCCCTCTCAATCAGAAAGATTTCTGGCTCCCAGGTGTCTTTTATACAGGTAACGAGCTGAGATTAGGAGCACAATCTTAAAGTCAGTGCTCCTAATCTCAGTTTGTTACCTGTATAAAAGACACCTGTCCACAGAAGCAATCAATCAATAAGATTCCAAACTCTCCACCATGGCCAAGACCAAAGAGCTCTCCAAGGATGTCAGGGTCAAGATTGTAGACCTACACAAGTCTGGAATGGGGTACAGGACCATTGCCAAGCAGCTTGGTGAGAAGGTGAAAACAGTTGGTGCTATTATTCGCAAATGTAGGAAACACAAAAGAACTGTCAATCTCCCTCGGCCTGGGGCTCCATGCAAGATCTCACCTTGTGGAGTTGCAATGATCATGAGAACAGTGAGGAATCAGCCCAGAACTACACGGGAGGATCTTGTCAATGATCTCAAGGCAGCTGGGACCAAGAAAACAAGAAAACCAAGAAAACAATTGGTCACCAAGAAAACAATTGGTAACACACTACGCCGTGAAGGACTGAAATCCTGCAGCGCCCGCAAGGTCCCCCTGCTCAAGAAAGCACATATACATACTCGTCTGAAGTTTCCAATGAACATCTGAATGATTCAGAGGACAACCGGGTGAAAGTGTTGTGGTCAGATGAGACCAAAATGGAGCTCTTTGGCATTAACTTGCCGGGCTTGGAGGAGGAGGAATGCTGCCTATGACCCCAAGAACACCATCCCCACTGTCAAACATGGAAGTGGAAACATTATGCTTTGGGGGTGTTTTTCTGCTAAGGGGACAGGACAACTTCACCACATCAAAGGGACGATGGATAGGGCCATGTACCATCAAATCTTGGGTGAGAATCTCCTTCCCTCAGCCAGGGCATTGAAAATGGGTCGTGGATGGGTATTCCAGCTTGACAATGACCCAAAATACACGGGCAAGGCAACAAAGGAGTGGCTCAAGAAGAAGCACATTAAGGTCCTGGAGTGGCCTAGCCAGTCACCAGGCCTTAATCCCATAGAAAATCTGTGGAGGGAGCTGAAGGTTAGACTTGGAGAAGATCTGCAAAGAGGAGTGGGACAAAATCCCTCCTGAGATGTGTGCAAACCTGGTGGCCAACTACAAGAAACGTCTGACCTCTGTTATTTCCAACAAGGGTTTTGCCACCAAGTACTAAGTCATGTTTTGCAGAGCGGTCAACTACATATTTCCCTCATTAAAATACAAATCAATTTATAACATTTTTGACATGCGTTTTTCTTGATTTTCTTGTTGTTATTTTGTCTCTCACTGTTCAAATAAACCTACCATTAAAATTATAGACTGATAATTTCTTTGTGCTTAAAATACTTTTTTTCCCCTCACTGTAATATTTCTGACTTCCTCATCCACCGCCACCAAGCCCCTGCCATCTTATCATACCTTGAACTGTGCACTTTTAATTTCAGATGTAGTATCACAGCATCCACATAACTGAAAAAGCAATTAATAATTACAATGAACACTGCAAAATAAGCATAGCTTGTTTTTAAAAAGAAGAACAATTACAATGAACATTTCAAACATATTATATATGTCTAGAAATAAGCCTGACAATAATATTAATGTTATTGTATAATAATCTCATAATTGTAACTATTATATAAACCTGTGTCCTATAATTAAGATTAATTTGCTAAGATTTTCTTTTGGTATTGTGGGCACTATGGGAATGTCTGTGAAGGGTATTTATGTTGTTGTTGTTGTTTTTGGGTTGTTGTTGTTTTTTAGCAAAAATGTATTCAGAAAAAAACATTTCTTACACTAGATCATCTGTGGACAGTGACAGAGAGCAGATGTCCTCCTCATTAATATCTCTGAGGCTATCAACATCAAACCTAGCAAACAATGCAAAAACAAATTGAAACTGTTCAGGCAGATACAATAAAACTATATTTTATATTTATTTATTTCCTGGTTAGTTTTACATGTAGTTTTCAGTGTGCCTACCACTTATTTTCACCTTCGTGTATAGCCAAAGATTGCAAAGATTTAAAAGTTCTTATAATTTCAAATACAAATTTCAGTCTAGTAATACTGCATTTGAATTTATTTGAATATTTGAATTTGTAGTTTGTCAGAAAAATGGTGTTGGAAGCAGGTGTAGAAAGTAGAAATCAATGTAACCTATATCTGATATTTATGGATCATCCATGTTTTCTAGTTTGTGTAATTTTGCATTGTCCATTTACCGAATGGAATCACGTCCAACACTGGGTCTGTTTTGGGAGAAAGTGAGGATCTTTGCAGCACTATTCAGACTCAAATTTTTAGCACCCAGCTCCACTGTAGTTAAACCAGGTATGGAATGGAGGTAAGACAGAAGTGCATCTACATGCTCCTCAAACTGAGGACTTGAAAACATTAATCAACAAGAAGGAATGTTATTATTTTTTAATATAATTTTTTGCAGGATATAAATATAGTGACAAGTTCTTTACAACAAGCAATGTGGTTGGTGTATGCTAATTCAATCGAATCTGTGTTATGTATAGTTACAACATGGAACTAGGTCTATTTGTATGATGAAATGAAATCAAAAGCAAACAATGAGAATAGTCAATGTGAATCCCTCATCTGGAGCAACATGTTTTTAACAGAAATTAAAGTGGGGATTTTTTTATTTATTATTTAAATACATTTCACAACCAGAAGAAGTCAGCATACACTTACATTTCTTTAAGATTATATGATATCCAAAGGAGATGTTTCATGTCATTGTGGGATATCACTGA